GATTTAATCAGTTGTAATTGGATTGGTCTCGATACCGAAGGTTTTGATTTCGATCTTTGACAATCGGGTCGTGAGTGCACTCTGATGAAGAGTCTCAAATTAGGACGAAACAGTTGTGCAGTAATCCATGGTTTACAATGATTCTCTAACCGATGTTGGCTTGTGAAGGAATCTACACAAATATTAATCCATATCCTTTCAAAATCCATAATTTGAACTGATGTCAAATATTAATTTGAAGAATCTATCTTGATACAAATTGCTTAATTGGATGGTGTGTTCCCGATATTTTTACAATTAAACGCCGAATTACCATCGGGAAACTGAGAATGTGAGGATTAATCATCGCCTGATACACTGGTAGTAATGTGTTAAAAAGAAACTAGTGAGTCCTAACTGGGAGGATTAACCCAATACAGGGGATCTCAATTTTTCCACAAGCCTGATTTAATATCCCTCTTTATTACATCTACAAGCGTTTATATGTTCCCTGTCAGTCAAGACATTTCTGTGTTTACAATCCGAGTAATGATAAACTCTAACCAATAGCTGCTATCTAAGCGTACTGATCAGGAGTGCATATTACAGTGACCTCACAAACCAGATTGTCTACGACGGATGCCCGGGAAATGTTATTCGGATCGAGATTATGCTAAAAGCAGTGACTATCATGGTGTAGGTGTGAGTCCGGAGTTGAAGTCATCCTACTGGTAAGTAGAGATGTAACAGCATCAACGTGATTCCCTCAGAAAATCGCTCTAGGAAGGCTGTTGGGTTAGAAAAGAGCGACTCCGAAAACTGGATATCTCGACTCATATTAAGACAGTCTGTCCTTCATGTGTACACATAGCTCTACAAATCACTTCAAACAGGCCGTGTTATCAGCCTGTTCTCTGAGCTCTGCAGTCACGCAACATCTGTTTAGATAAACAGATTAGCTTGCAGTTTACGGTTCACAATGTCGAGACTAATGATGACTAAAGTTAATTGGTAACATAACTTCAGTCCAGTGTTTATGCTAATCAGAATATTATTCCATCTCACTACTTTCTGTATAGATGTCGTCGTGAAATGACACCAGCTAGAGAATCATTGAAAGTCAAACAGAATTGCGCACATGTTTTGTCCTTGTTTGAGACTCTTCAATGGTTCATACCTATACCCAAAGACCAAGACATTCAGCTTACGAAGCCAGTGTACCGACCGTCCGACATCTGGATCACAATCAATGATCTGTCAGTTCACGAATTACCACTACCGTTAACCGATGACATCAATAAGCATGCACTCTACACTGACATATCAGATACTAACAACTTCAACATATCCATCCAAATGCGACCAATGGGCTGGGGATCGATATTATTCAGTGGACAGTCCTAAACTAATCTTCGCTTTTTCCAATGATTTTCCAACTAATTCCAGTTCATGATAAAGAATACTTTGAAATTTATGAAAATCCTTAGAGAAGGCGAAAATTTGATTTTCACTTTCTATACGAATTTCAGCCTTGGATAGAACTTTATACAGATAATGCTATACGCTATCTCACCACTCACTGGATTGACAACCTTACACTAATCCTATGCAATACTGAGGAGTACTGTCAGTCAACAGTAGTCTGGTGTTCATCCATCACACGGTAAAGTTCGCACAGTCAGTGCAGAAAGTCGACGGCTATGAGATTAAATACTCACTGACGATATTGGCTGACTGCCGTGCTAATATATATCGCAAATTAGCTTAATTCATGCACTGTTGAGTGTCATCCAAGTGGCTAAATAGTCGACAAAATCACCTTGTAACCAAAAAAGTCCTGGATTCACAATCCCTGATGATGACTTCCAAACTAGTATGATGATACAGTTTTCCAGTAAATAATCCCGCGTTTCTAATGCCTTCCCACCCCCCCTCTCTAACTGAAACGTCATCACTTCGCAGTATCAATTGAAGTTAGAGAAAGCATTTGTACACGTATGTATTTTGATAAAAAGATACTTGACTAAAAATATTGATTTTTCTTTGTAAAAAATGGGAGAAAGTAAATAAAGGAAAGAAGAAGACAAAACAAAACGGCAACAACAACAACAGTTAGCAGCACATTGAAAGGATGAATAGTTAATCGTGTGTTAGTTGTCTTGGTAAAAAAAAAGAAATCAAAATGTTGCCTAACAGCAAGTCATAGTAATATTCATAATGATAATAAAGTATAAAAGTGGCGCAATAATGAAATACATTGTACAATATCTATATAAATAAATTAACAAATAAACTCGTTGAGTAAACAAACAACGAATGGGGCCTGGCAACAATACACACATGACAATCCAACTTTTGCATTTATCCCTAACAAAGCTGCCATAATAACACGCAATAATCATCACAAAAGCATAGAAGTTTAAATTTTCTTTTTGTAAAAGAGGCGCGAACATAATATTGTAATGTGAAAGTAGATCGTAGAATACCAAAATGTCCAGAGAACCAAAGACAGGAGGGGGGGGGCGCAATTTCCAAAAAATATAAGAGAGATTATTGATGAAAGTTACAAGAAGAGGAAGAAGAAAAGGCGCTCATGGTACACAATGGGTTTAAAATGTATGTTTTCTTTTCTAAAATATTCATTCATCTATCCGTCTATCGAACAACTACATTTATAATTCCTATACAATTGGCGGTAATAAGCCTTCAAATAAACCTTCCTATAGTGTGTGTGTGTGTGGGCATATGAGGTCTAATATTGATACTAGTACTATTATCTGGCTGGCTGGTGGGTGGAGCACTGGAGTTCGAATCTATGACCATCAATAGGCTACAAGTTCTCATAACCATCTACTACTTAGTGAGGTGAAGCAAACAACTAAAAACCAATCGCCTCTTCCAAATACTGTTTAAGGGGAAAATTGAGAAACAGTCAGAAGAAAAAATTCAGAACAGGGCTACTATGTATGTATAATGATAAATTGCTTTGATGAATATGCGGCATATTATATATATAATAGTAATAGCCACGATGAGAATGACGACGGTAGAGAAGAGTCGGACAAGATAAAAACGATGATGGCATAGAGAAGACACACACACGCACACACACAGTACACATAGATAGATAGACAGACAAATAGATAAAGGATAAAAACGATTTTTTTTAAAAAGCCATCCTATATGTGTATGAATGAATAAATCCAATTAATATGTATTGCATATGTAATAATAAATGTAATTGTATATAACCCCATTTTTTTTTAAAAATTACTCTCTCTATTTGCTTCATGTTATAGATATTAGGTAGAGATATATAAATATTGTAGAGTATTTGTTGGCATTATCCCTTGATCGCTTTCCCTCTCTTCTAACTGGCTCACTCTTTAAGTGTACTACTTGTAGGCCTCTTTTTAATTAAAGAATACCTTTCATATGAAGGGATCGAAACCCGATCACTGGAAGAAATGAACACATACACACACATGTACACTCCAAGAAGATAATCAATCACACCTACAAGTAATACAAGTACTCTAGGAATAAAAGAATAAAGATAAGAATATTATTAGAATAAGTGGGGAATATGTACACTGTAGGCTTGGGAAATGAAGACAATGCTACCTCTTCCGAAACCAACCAACCAACCACCCACCCACCCCCCACCACCGGCACATTTAGCCTACAAAATATTCACCTCTATGATATTATTGAAATTATTATATAAGCAGTTAGCATGTATGTTTGACATAACAGTTTCAATAGAATTTAGAATTGCACCACAACATATATGTATGCGTATATATAATCGGTACATGATTATAAATGCAAACCAAAAAAAAAACAAATACGAATGGATCAAAAACTCAGTAGTTCAGAAAGATCTATCATAGCAAAAAATTAGAAATTTATACACCTATATTTCTATGTACACAAATATTCCGCTTTTAAATCGACTTCAAGGAACTGTCACAGACAAACTTCGACACACGTACACGCCAGGCAGTCGACAGAAAAAAAAGGAAGTTATATTTGTTAAGAGTAAGGCACAAATACATTTTCACAGGTCATAACATTTTGTACTTATTTATATATATTCTAAATGTTGGGTGAGATGTTAGAATACCTCCGAACAGTCAGTCATCATATACACGCACACGCACACATACACACTTGTTTATTCATTACTCACCTGAACACTATTAAACACAAAAAACACAATATCTCCCCCTGTTAGAGTTATCAAAGAGGAAGATTATGGAAAAAGGGAAAACCTGTAAAAGCATGATAGATGAAGTAGTCATAGAAATGAGTAAGTGAGTGAATGAGCATACTGCTCAGATATCAATCAATGAAACCAACCAATCAGCCAGGAATACAAAAGAAAGAGAGAAAGAAACATAGAGAGAGGCGAGAGGACCGTGAAGGCAAGAAGTGAGAGAGAGAGCTAAACAATAGAACAATGCACTGTGGAGTATTCTTCGCCCCGACTCTGTCCTCTGTGAAGGCTATATTCATACTTTTCTTTTCATATTGCAATAACAATAGTAATAGTAATAATAATACACAATATTAATAACAATAATAATATTTTTTAGAAAAGAGATATTATAATGAAAATAAATATACAAATAAACAAATGAATTAGTAAATTTACAATTAAATAAATAAAAATCACCAAACAGATAAATAATGGCGCTATTTTACCATTTTCCTATATGTCTCCCCCATCAGTGCTGCTTCTTCAGTGTGCTTCTCTCTCTACAAATGGCCACACACAATGACGCACAGGCACGCACGCAGGTAGATATGCTGCAAATTATAATTTTAAAAAATTTCACACCTTAGTTCTTCTGTACACATGCAAACTACCTCACAGTGTCATTAACAAGGTTGGGTGAGCTGGCAGGGAGTGGGGGTTGGGAGAAGAGACCGGTTGATTTTTGAAGAAGAAATTGGATGATTGAAATAAACAAACTACCTAACTACCTAACTAACTAACTGACTAACAAACAATCAATTTATGAAACAGATGAAATAGGATTCCTTGGTGTACCCATCTGTGTTAATACACGATCTAACCATTGCAATGGACCATTCAGGTGAATTTCAACCCAACATGGTGTTGAGGTAACATCTTGTCGATGATATTCAGCCCCCCAACCTTTAACAAAACTCATACGTATTGTACACATTTTAGTCAACTCATAAACAGCTTCAAATCCATGATGTACAGTACGACTGAGGAGATGAGCAAATTCTTGATTAGAGAATATTTTCAATGAACACCCAGGTGGGATTTTACACACAGTTGTTGGATGAAAATTATGATGATAATTACAATTACGTGATTGAACAAATATACTACTGTCTGATAAACACTCAGCGTATACTTCACCACCGACATAGTATAGATGAACACCTATGGTGAAAATGAAAAAAAAATAAGAAAACAAATATGAAGCAATAACTACACTGGGAGGAGGGGGAGGGTAAGCAAGAAACAAAAACAAACCAAAAAAATATAAATATTATGATGAATGTCTCAGTGAAGCATTCAATGTTATTATAAAAACTGTGAGTTGGTGGCACAGTGGTTAGGACTCTCACTGACCATACACATGGTCCAAGGTTCGATCCCCTGCCGACGTACACCTGATATCTATGGTCGGCCTGCAAAATTTTGGCTGCCGATATCATATACTGAGAATTCCATACTTGTGCCAAAAATACGGTGTGGAATCAAGCTGTAATAAAAAAAAAATCGGTACACGATAGGTACCAAGAAATAAGCCACACAAAATTTGTGCGAGGGATGGGATCCAGTCTGGACGCCAAGATTCAAGCAGGCAATTGCCTAAAGGGGGCCACCACCCGAGCCTTCGGCTTGAATTTTGACCTACAAGGCAACAGAACAGCCTGTGACCATAACAGACTCATACGCTATTCGATTCTTTCGGATTCTGGAGCCCATGTAGATTACAGGTTTAGGATCATGATTTTCCAGCTCCTCTAGTTAGATTTGCATATCCACCATTCCGGTTGTAAGCGCTAGACGTTCACATTTTCTCTTTCACTTTTGTGAGGAACACCCGCTCCACGTGAGAGCACCGAATAGGACTTGTCTAGTAGTTGGAGGCTATGAACGCGTTGCCACTTCATGAGATCATTTAGAGAGAATGACCAATGTCTACCAAACTTCAGTAGCACTAAGTAGTTTATAGTGACACTCAAGAGTATTCAACAATTTTTTAGAGTAAAAATGGATATGCTGAAAAGCTTATTGTCCCTTTACAACTACTACAATTATACGATCAGGGATAAAGGCTTAACAACCTAAGTAATTCCGCCTCCTATATGCGCATTTACCGGTTTGACTACTCCTGTGGAGCCAATTACTTAAGGCATAAAATTAGGCATATGCATCATCGGATTTCTGAATATCATCGTCCTGCACAATGGTTAAGCAAGGGATAAACATGGTCCATGCGTCGCTTTGTTTTAGCTCACCTTGTAAATACGGAACATAAAGCTATTGTTGACAAGACATTTAGAGCTATCTGTTATATTCCGATTTTTTGCCTTACGAGTTCGTCTTCTCCATATAGCTGAAGCTTTCGGAATCCACGTAAAGAAACCAGACTTATGCATTAAAAGTAATTCATACCACCACTTTCCCTCTCAAGGTCATCGTTACATTTTTTTATTTTTTGATTACAGCTTGATTCCACACTGTATTTTTGGTACAAGTATGGAATTTTCAGCATGGATATCGGTAGCCCAATTTTTGCAGGCCGACCATAGATATAAGGTGTCCGTCGGCGTGGACTCGAACCTCGGACTATGTGCATGGTCGGAGAGGGTCCTAACCATTGTGACTGTCGATTTTCCGCTTCGTCTTAACTGACTAAGTGACGGGTTCCAACGTAGAACTTTGCGCAGACGTGGAGCAGTGCGAGTTGCCACACACAAGACAAGAGGAGAGAGTAAAGACAGATTCAAGAGAGACATAATAAATAGAAATATGGAGCAAAAAGAATAGTAATGTGAAAGAACAGTAGAATTTTATTGGGTATTATAAATTGCAAGGAGTGGATGCATCTGTGCCAGTCATTAATACAGATTTTGAGCCGTATCACCAAGTGTCTCCAGTCATCAGTGGTTCCCACCATCCCAACGACCTCAACCAGACACCAGTCTACACCTCCCTACGTGGCTGGCTTAAACTAACTGTTGTGGATTTGATTGACTGATGAAGACATGTTTTGGTTTGACCACCACTAGCTAGCTCTTTTCCAACCTCATCCTAAGCCTTTTACAAGCTACTACTGTTTTAATTATGCTATTCGTCTACCCTTTAATTGTTTTAAATTATCGTACTGATTTCAATATCTCCATACTGTTTTAAAAAGATTAATATTTTCACACCAAAAATCTATCTTTCAATATTATTCATACATAAATGTAGTACGATTTCTCGAACACACAACAAGATAGACGGTGAAATGAACATGCTAACAAAGAACTACTAAATTTAAATTCAGTAGCTACTGAGTTCCAACTTTTGTCATTTCACGGCGGTACCGCTGTCACATACACACACTCTCCAGCTGTCTTCGATGGGTAATAGTCCTCATATCTGGATTAGTGGCCCACACCTGCAACGAATTCTGATTAGAATATCGGTCACTAAGTAGTGACAGATAGAATTAACGGAGCTAAAATATATCCTAAGATACAGAGTACCTGACTGAGAGTAACTGAACAGCAATCAGTACTGACCTAAACTCCCCTTTGTCGTGGTCGTAGTAGTCAGGCATTGTTGGACGATGACAAACTTGGACATGGCCAATGTCCAGCCATTTTTTCCCATTCGTGATACCACTACTCTAGTCCGACTCTCATTTATTACGAAATTTACCGTCAAATTATGTACGGCAAAATTGAAGAATAACGACTCGACAGGGGGAGACGGAGCAATGAACGCATTACTGACGTAGAAACAATGAATTACTATAAAAGAGAGAATTTACCTCAAATTAGCCACATAGTCTGTTTTAATATTATACTTCTTTCGTCAGTAGTATATGTTTTTATGATCGTATTTTATCTCATGGTATTCATGCTGTTATCTGTTTACTATATCACAATGAGAGAATAATTGGTCACTAGTAAAAGACGTTAATATTGGAATAGTTGAAATTACTGATGCTTGGTAACCCATATGTCACACTGGCATGTTGTGTAGCTAAATAATGGCTTTCCACAGAACTTGTATTACGTACATGAAATCCCATTAAACTAATTTCAGAATGCAATAAGATTTACGTAATGGACGAAGTCACTCCATAGAGCTGCAAGCTGACAAACTCATGAATGACTTTGAACTAACACCTCGAAATGTAGACTTCCAGGCTGGGGTCCTCGGGACGGTAAAAATCTATGGTTGGAAACAATTGGTGACATGGCTCAAAATCGTTCTCAGTGGCGCAGATGCATCCACTCCCTGTGACTTATGATCTTCAATGAAACTGTTTTGTATTTCTTTATTACTCCTTTGTCTCACACCTCTGCTCACTGTCTCTATTATGCTTTTCTTGTACTTTCTTCTCTTGCTTCGCGTGCTACACGGAATGTGGCGACTTGAACTTCCGCACATTTGTGCAAAGTTCTATGTCGAAAACAGACAGATCTTGTTACAATACAATATGGCACCAAGAAAGATGCGCCACACAATAATAATAAAACAACATAGATCAGAAGTAAAAAATATAAGTAGAGAACGGATAAAGAACTTCATCTGGAAGGAAAACACTCATGCTTAACAAGTCCAAACAGTTTTCGTCAACTATCATCGGGAAGGGAAGAAAGAAGGAAATTGCAACACATTCGCCATTGATTACGATTCTAGGCCATATCCGACAACGTTTCGAGTCATCGATTCGAGCTATCTCGCGGACCCCAACCAGGGAGTCGTGACGCACCAACCGATGCTAATCTGGCACAAACATCCTTCATCCCACGACGCCACGTCATGGACTGACCACTCCTCCGACTTTTTCATCCCATCCCAGGGCTAGCAAACAGAGACCTTGTACGGAAGCCTCTGGGATGACATTCGCAGGACATGTCCGAGCCACCGGAGCCGATGTTCCCAGATGACGACACTCAATGAATGATGATCTCCACTGTGTTCAAACACACGCCACCAAACCTCAGAATTACTCACACGATGATGCCATCGAACGCAAGCGATCCAGCGGAGACAGCGATGATCGAACACGCAGAGTCGCTGCCGAACATCCTCAGCTCAGAGAGGTCGTTTCACAGGCGTAGAGCAAGACAGCCCGCACCGAATCATTGTATACCCGACCTTTGACAGCCAAGCTAAGCCAACATCGCGACAGCGGCAGAGGTGGCTCAAGTTAATGTATGCCACCCTAGCCTTCATTATACGGTTGGAAATCTCATCCGTCACCCCTCCGCCAGCACTCACACAACTAACCAGATACACAAACTTATCAACAACTTCAGGCGGTTCACCTGCAAGAGTGAGTGCAGGTACAGGCTCCTGCCAATCATGTAACAGTACTTTGCACTTAGACGGCGCAAAGCACATACCATACTTACAGACACTGATCGCCAACTGATTAAGTGCGATTTGGGCAGCCTGTATGCTATCGCACAGTAAGACGATATCGTCTGCATACTCGAGGTCGAAAAGTCTATCTCCAGGTAGCAGATCTACACCAACTTCACGCACATCCTTCAGAGCTGACTCCAGAATGTTATCGATGGCAAAGTTAAAGAGAAATGGAGAGATTGGGCAACCCTGTCTAACCCCACTGTTGGTTGGGAACAGTGATAATAGTTGGTTGTATTCCCTCACTCTACCCGAGGTGTTTAGGTATAGGGCTTTCAAGATGTTAACAAATTTCTCAGGTACATCTCTCTCTAACAGACAGTTCCAGAGCACAGTTCTGTCCAACGAATCGAAGACAGCCCTAATATCAAGAAACACAACGATCGTTGGGCTGCAATACGTGTGGCGGTGTTCCAACAACTGACGAAGGGTGAACGCATGATCAATGCATCCACGAGCTGAACGAAACTCAGCCTGCAAAGCAAGACAGCAGCCAATATTTTAGACGCGACTGGTAGCAGACTGATATCCCTATGATAGTCACATGAATTACGTCGAAATGTATCAATTACAAACTAACTTGCAAATATGAGAATTTGATTTACAGTTTCACTAACTTATTCTGTTTATGCATTTTACACATCATTGATGTGTCCATCCTTCTCCGACTCTAACCCAGACCAATTGTATAATATAGTGAAATATATTACTAAGGTGCTGTGTAGTGTTCAGATGGAGTGAGAAAATATACACACCAGAGAGTTTAAAATTTAACTGGATAGTTTCAAAAGTTGACTTCCCTTCCCAACCTTCCAACTGTACAAAGTGATGACGTGACGATGGAGATGATGATAATAGTGATAACAATAAAGTTATCAGAATCACTGTTGGCACGCAGATGATATACACAAAAAACTGGCTCCATATAAATATCACGTATATATATATATATATATATATATATATATATATATATATGTATTACACATAGAGCAATAGGGCATTACTATCATACTACTCACATAATGCGACAAGAGAGAGGGAGAGTGTGTGTGTGTGCGTAAAACGCGATGTAGAACACATAGGAGTAAAAAAATACACGAATGGAATTGAATGCGGGGGGGGGGGTGACGAATAAGCAAAAATAAATATTACAACAACAACAGCAAAAAAAAGAATTTCAAATATACACCTTGGGGCCATAAATATTTTTATTTTGTAGTAAGTAGAATAACGTGCTGATGATAATGATCAGACAAAATTCCTAGCACAAAAAAAAAATAATAAGTTAACCTGTAGGCGCTTTTTACTTAGTTGAATTGAATATTAAATACAGTTATTATTTTAACAGGATAACATGTGTACGTGTTCAACTCCCAATTTACGCACAATAAGAGAGATATATATTCAGATTCGATGTTCGAATAGTTAAATGAATAGTGAATAGAAACAATTCCATTATGGATAAAAATTTATTTTGATAAAGTCATTCAAAGTTACACAGTAATATTTACTGATAACAATAAGAACAATAATAATAGCATAAATAACAAAGAATATAAGGCATTTACAGTTTCACCATATAATGAAGGGATATCTGAGACCCTAAGTAGTAGAATTCTTAATAAAGCAGGAGTCAGGGTGGCATTTAAACCTAGAAAGTCACTTAGAGACACGCTCTGTAGGCTAAAGGACCTGGTTAACCCAATTAAACAAAATACCTTGCAATTACTGTGAGTGAGGTCAACTACATAGATCAAACTGGTGGATCTGGTGTGGTCAGATTGTCAGAACATAAGAATTTAGCTAAGTTTAGAATGACTGACCCCAAGAAGATAAGTAACTTAGGAAAAAAACTCAGCCATCGCACTGCATGCATTAACACACAATCCAAAATGGGGTGGGTGGGACAGAGTCAAAATTCTAAAAAGTAACATAGGTAGGTGGCGAGAGAGGTTGACTACTGAATCAGTGTTCACGTGAATAGAAAATGACTCATCACTAATACCAGAGACATGGAAAATGTTACTACCAACCATATCAAGAGATGAGAAATAGAGGATTCATACCAACAAAATTGGAAAGTTGTGTGAACAACTTGATATGACTATGAGCAGTAATAAATTGTGCTTGAAACGTGGTCATCAGTAAATATTAATGTATAATACTGTGTGACTTTATCAAAATAAATTTTATCCATAATGGCGTTATACTCTACCACAGTGCTCAAGTTTTATCCTTATATGAAGTTATAATAGTAACAACTCATTGCACGTTTTGAATAGTATATCTCAGTAGAAGAAGACATGCAAAAGTATAACAGACAGAAATATGCGCAAGTAGGCAATATCAGATTGTGTGTGTGTGGGGGGGGGGTAAGATGAGCTGTAGTTACAACGTACTGTGACAAATGTCATATAAATCAAATAATTACGCTTTTATCAGTAAAGACGGGGACTCAAATGAAAACAGTAAACAACATGATACGGCTAAGGGGATGGGAGGACTTTGCTGTCCCCTCTGAAATGGTTACGCGTTGTTTAAAGTTTCTAGTAGGTAACTCGTACTCACCTTACAGAAGTAGAAGGGCGACTCAGAACATCTACCGCTTAGAATGGGACTAGTGGCAGGTCTACCCACAAACCAGGGGAACATATCTCCACTGATTTGTGAATCAGAGTTGGAATCAAAGGTTCAAGAGTAGCCCCTGCTTTAAGATAACCACTTGTTTCAGTCTGGCCGTCCGGGTAATATCCCAGTCTTCACACAAACCATGGATCAACCAGTTGGGAATGATGCAACTCCCCAAATAAGTGAAGTGGTCAGCACGCTCCGCCAACCACTTCATTCCCTATCTTTGAGCTGTGAGTCCGTCAATGTAGTCCAGTCCTGTAGCATCATCTTACATTTGAGGAGAGTGAATCACATGCCAAACACTCGAATGGTTACTGCTGTCGTATATATATATATATATATATATATATATATATATATATATAGTTTTCCTTTTGTAAATATATAGATACCGATACTGATAAATATACTTTCTATCTCACATTGTGCGTTCTCGTCTAAGTAGAAAGGGCTGGGGAAACAAGCAGCTGTCGTATAATGTTGTTGGCTTTAGACTAGCAATATTTGTGATTACCATGTCCGTGCCCAGCTCCATGGTTCCTGATTCAATCTCAATGTTATAGTGAAATTAAAAAAAAGTGCGACAGCGAAACATGCAGGTAGTCGAGCAGTCAGCCAAAGACGACTTCCAGAGAACAGGATGAAACGGATATGTGTAATCGAAGCCTTATGCTCTACTAGGAATAATAATAATAATATAATTGTCTATATCATAGCTTTAATGTTAGAAATGAATAATCTTGCTGATGTTAAATGGTTGGAAGCAATCGGTAGGAATCTTTGGACCTGGGTTTCGTGCTAATTGGCACTCATCATTAAGGAGTATTTGCAACCTTGATGGAACTTGTGTCCCGTCTGAGGAGACTCGAACTCACGTCACCCAATGCTGCAATCAGATACGTTACTTGACTGGCAGAATTCATTCTGCGCCAAACAAAGGACTAGACACATCACACTAGTTACTAGCGTCCAGTTAAAGTATGAATAATCTTACGATGAAAATAATACAGGAAAGAAAAGTTTCAAAACGGCATAAATCAAATTCTCAATTTACAAACTAATTCGCAATTTACACAGTTCGAGGTGAAATTTCACTGTAGTGTCTTTTGGAAACCAAGACTGTACTGATTTGGCTCGTTAGCCGATAAGCACTAATGATCTATGTAAGTAGTATACAACTACTCATCTCAATAAATCGGTAAAATGTAGTTTTATGCAAATATAAAAAGGATAGTAAATAAATTACCTTTTCCAATATGACGTCGTGTATTTTCAATAGTTGAATTACGATTAACATTTGACAAAAGGCCAAGACAAAAACGATCTGAGTTATTCGAAGGATCTGTAAAACCGTCAATGATAATGCTTAACTGTGAAGCATTGAATGCTTCACCAACACGATTATTTAATTCATAATACACAATAGAACACCAGTATTTTGGTTCTTGATAATTTACTGGATGCATAGCTGGAATGAAAATGAGGGGAAAAAAGTGGGAAAAAGTAGTGAATTATGAGATATTTACTAAACATATTCTGCAATTCTACACTGAGGCCGTAACACTCAACCTCCAGTGTTTGTGTATATATAATGAAGGGGAGAAAGTAATGTGTGTATACACACAATAAACGTATATCGGTTGTTCCATGGTAGAGTGAAGGCCAACCACGTAAGTGGTCAATGTACGACTGACTCCCAGCTGACAAATTCATAAATCTCGGCTGACCGGTAGCGAGCCCAGGTTTAAAGGGGAGGTTGGGAATGAGGCTAACAACTCCATCCAGTTGAAAAACATCACTACTGAAACTTCATAGCTCGGAATTGAAGACCTACGTTCCATTTAGAAAGTAAGACATGCATTAGGCAACAATGAAGTCTTTCAAATGTTTTAATCGATAAAAATTAAGAAATTATTATTATTGTTACTACGCAATATGATATTACCCTTGAGTAGTTTCATTCACCAAATCACACTTGGTCATTAAAAAACTAACCAAGTATTATAATAAGAGAAAGTAAAATCAAAAATATAAAAAATTGCAAATTGGTACATTTTATTTATATGTATTTAGCAAAAAGTCATAATTTTTGTGAGGATTAATGATACTATCTAGCTATTTGAATCTCAGTAGGTGGAGTAGGATCAGAACCTATGGATTGTCTATTGATAATTAAGCACTGAAGGTCAATACGTTAGAATTAAGATGAAGACGAGTTGGTGGTACATTCACTCTGCTCAGATCGAATTTCCTTTTATTACTCGGTCTATGAACACTGAATTGAATCATCTAAATTTCATTGGAGTGATAAACAACATTATACTAAATCCAGGTTTAACTCTCAGCCTAACCTTCAGTTAACATAGGACTTTTAGTTAGATAGGTAGTGATTCTTCATGTTTAGAATACATTCGGAAATTTAAGTTATCAACGAACTGCCTTACCTTTCCCATTCCCCCTCTCTAGCATAAGGTCCTACGCCTAATCTGTACATTGCAGGTATAATAGTTTCATCACACGTTGTGCGTATAACTACTACTTTATTTCAAATGAAACGATAATTACACAAAGAAGTTCAAAGAGAGAGAGAGAGAAGACTATACAGTACATCTGGTCCTAAATAGTTACTCAGATATCTTATTAGTGCGATATGTGAGATCTGATTTCGCCCACGACGAAGAAGAACCACTAACATGCATGCACACACAATTCCTTACCAAATCACCCTCATTATGAAGTTGTCTCTAATAATAGCAGCGGTATAATAAATATACACAAATTTTCAAGATTTATCACGAACGTACTTCATTTAGAGAACTATTGGAAATCAGTAAGGAGTATACTGTACAGCTGTTTCGTCCTCATTTGTGACGTCATCATCAGTACGCACCCATGATCCACTCCATCAGGAATCAAACCCAGGACCTTCAGGTTACAAGGCGAGTCCATTGACCATTGAAGCACACTAGGACAAAATTCAATGACTGGCCTATCCATCCCCTCTGACCTTCAATACTTCTCTAAATGATGTCGTCATTAATCAAATCCCTACAAACCAATACTAGGAAATACTTAAAAATGAGAAATTCCATTTAAAAAAGAGCCTACACTTCTCTCTGTCATAGGATTAACACCTGCACTCGGCAGTTGTAGAAATTATTTGTTTTCTAGTATTTAGTACGAAATCTACAGATAGGGAACATTCATTTAGGCTATGACTATATATGCACAATAAATCTGACACACACACACACGCGCACATACATGTTCCCTTCAAAAATGAATCATTTCAAACGTTTCCCTATCAGAAGAAAAATAATACAACAAAATAATAAAGAGTTTGCAGGAGAGGCAAAAAAAGAAGAGTAAGAAGTCCACTCATATTTTTAACTTTATTAATAAAAGATTAATGCGTAGTTTTCTTTTTTGGCTTTATTACCAAGAATGAAATTGACTAATAAATTATTCAACCTAAAAAAAATAGGGAGGGGCTAACATACATCAGGTGAAATAAAGCGGTACAACTAGTGTACAGTGCACCCACACAACTGTCAAGTACGCCAGAGTTAACACAGAAGAAAACTTTTGAAGGGTTTGATTACCAAAATTTATACAGCGATAGGCGTCATCTAGCACTGACAAGTAGTAGGTAGGCACACGAAAACAATAACTGGAAACTTGTGACAAATGGTATCGAATGTCAAGAAAATACTGATTTAAAATCTGCATATAGATCTTAAAACATCCTTACTGTGAAAATATATGATGCTGCAACATTATAACCTGTTAGGTGTAGTTGGTGGGAAGCCTTCCACCTACGTTTCGTGCTTGCTGGCACTAGTCAGCAGGATGTATTAGAAACTTGAGTCGTAATTAGGGTGAACCCGTATCTATCGCCTAGTGCCGTAATGAGGAACGTGACCGATGACCTATTCGGGCTCACAGTTAGCCACTAGATTGACGAATCGCCTTGCAAACTTGAAGGATAGAATTCGGTCAGAACCAACACAAAGGGCTAGAAGCAAAATACTATGTGATACGTATTGTGATGATAAACTACTCGACAAATCAGAGATGTACTTAAAAAATAATTCAGTCGTTATATCTCTAGTCCAGTTGTCTTAAACTGATAAACTGTACTCTGTACCTTTCAGGGTCATAAGAGTTATTTTATATATCACAACACCGCAACAAAAAAGTATAGATCAATTAATTACTAACTTGTTTTTTTGTATTTATCAGTGCCTCAGCAGGAAAACGTGAAGGTAGCTGGGTTTCGTGCTTGTGACAGAATTGAGTCTGACCATCACCAAAGAGTGAACACATGACATCAGTTACTACCTAGTTTCCAACCGAAGTGTTGAATACAGTGCTACATGAGGTCAATCATGAGTCCAAACAGCTCAGTGGTAACGTCTCTGACTGCAGCACTGGGTGTGAATCTCAGAATCGACATGCTTTCCTTTGAAATTCGAAGTATGCCTTGCTGACGAGTGCCAACAGGCACGAAATCCAGATCCAAGGCTTTACTGCAGACTACTTCCAACCATCTAACAACAGTTCAGAGTGCAGCCTAATGGAGAACCGCTTAGCATGGTGTCCACATTGAGAACTCTACTGATAGAATTCAGTCTCAGCCAACACTACACGCGTGACATATATAGCTACGTAGACTGAAACTGTCTGTAACCCTGAAAACGTGTCTGTTTTCATAATAAAGAAAATTTCTTCATGTTCCCATTGTCATTCTGACACGTCCGACGACAACTCAGCCCACTGAGACAGGTGAGAGAAGATGCACAGTGTTCCATTTAAAAGCTTCAAAAAAGAAGTAGGTACGTCAGCTCAATCATAGAGGTTAGAGATTCTTTGACGAAACAAAACTAAACACTGTACAGGAATACGTCAATCTAATTGCTACACTTTGGAAAAGAAACACAAGAAGAAAGGATTTTAGGAATAAATTTGCCGTTTACAGAGCGTGAAATGTCACTTAAATTGTTGAACATACTCTTGGTTTTACTTTGAGTACTAATACCACCTAATGCGTTAAAACTTCCCTAATACGGATGATCACTAAATCCAATTGAAATCAGACTTGAGGCTGATGTAATCTCCTGTATATATGCGAGCGAATAGGTAAGGTTAAAGGAAATCAAGTTTTTTTTGTATAACTCACTTTGACCAGAAGATGCTTGATCTTGATTGGGATGAGTTTGATAACCAGATTGAAGATTTGAGCCTGTCAATATCAAGCAAATTAATTGTTTTAGAAAACAAGTTATGCAAATAACAGAATGTTAGCTATATGGTAGACTACTTGAAATCAGAGAAGAATGGTACAAATCATAACTTCCTGCCCCAAAGCACCTGGTACGGACAAAGGTGGGCAAACTCACGACTTCCACTAAAAATGCTCTCATGTGACCAAACCATAACGGTTTTTGCCAGGTAATTCTCCGTCATTATTCTCCTCACAAAACGGAAGGTATTCATACAAAAGTGATAAGGCGAGTGTAAATGTTTGGTGCTTGTAACCATATTAGTTGGATGGGCTCCGCATGAAGGAGTTCAAAAAACCGAACTCAAAACCAATAGTCCAGGACACACAAATAGCGTACTGACGTATTTTGTGTGCCAGCAACCATGGGAACGCGGCTCCTGACGCTGCACTGCCACCTTGTAGATTATACTGCAATTCAAAAGATCGGAGTGGTCCTCGTAGATAACCATCTGCTTAGGTTTAGGCGTTCAGTCAGTATCCTAGCTCTCTCACAAATTATAGAAATAACACTCTTGTAGAGCATCTCCTGGTGTCCTCAGTGTACCAAGATTTTGTTTAAATAAAACTTAAGGCAAATTGTGTTTTGAAAGAATTCCAAAGTAGGACACAATAAGTATACAGTGATTCTTTCACTAATTTCGAAGCTTTAATTCATCTGATAAACCTATAACAATGTTTGAAAACAGTGTTCGCACCAGAGTCACAGTCCTAAAGGAAGTATTCACAATATTTACGAAGGTATTTTTCCATTAACAGATTAAATGTGTTACTCATTTCCCAACTATGAGATTGCCGCAGTTATGCAACCTGGTATAAGTACCAACAACTTGCGAGGAACCTTTAGTTTAAAGATAATAGTGAGTATAGAGGACTGAAGCAACAACTGTTCGAAATATAATAGGGCATTTGGAAGCCTTTCAAGTTACAGCTTATGCATTTCTAGTACATTCACTAAAGATTGCTTGTTCATGCAAATAAACCATTAACACACCTAACACAATATTCCGTAGTCACTAAATACAGGGTAACTATTCATTGAGCTAAGACCCAGAAGCTTAACTAGAGGAAAATGGTTAGGGTCCTCGGGATGCTATGAACCAACGGCTAGGGACTACTGGCGATATGGCTTAGAATCGTTCTCAACAGAGCACTTGGATTCACTCGTATTCATATTTCTGCTTACCACTTTTCCTTTAAATCTATTTTTCTCTCATCTGTCCACCTTTGTGTGTTACATGGTGTGGAAACTCGAACTGCAGCATTTCTGTACGGCGTTCTAGGTTGAAATGCAGTCAGTCCGAGAAACACAGAGAAACATCAAAACCCCACTTGAACTATTTCAGACTTGAAAGTCGAACAGCAGTATCACACTTCGCATGGTGTATTTCACAGATTATACAGTCACTAAGAAGAATTAACATTATAGAATATTTACCACAAATCTTGTAGAACCATAAAAATCAACAAAATTTCGAATATTCCACTTTTGATTAATTTGTTCCGCACAAGTAAAACTACGAATAAATATGCATTTTCATGTGAATGCTGAAATTATTACAAACGACTTGAATCAATGTCAACTCATTGAAAAGACAAATAACTCGTGATTTAGATTGTTTCTATAAATACACTGGTGATAAAACGACAGAAACATGCACTAACATTAATTTAGCAAATAACAATAGTACTTACTATCAGGGGAATGCATAGGACCAGTAACAGTACTGTCAGAAGTCCCTGTGTTTCCAGGAGGAAGAGATGGGGAGTGACTGAAGTTGTGTGGATAATTTACATTGTAGGGCATTGTTGTATCTGTCATTGAAAACATTCCCAGATTTGAAGCTGACCGGGAACTAGATATCCCACTGCTACCGCAATGTGATAAACCTGGCGATGGGGTTACAGCGCTTAGACTAGGATATTCACTGTGACGAGGGACAAGAACTGGAGGTAAAACTAAAATAATAAGAGAAAGGGAAATTTAAAAAAATTGGTGCTAAATGTGTAGATTGTTACGGAACGTAATTGATGTCATTTATTCATACTGATGACTTAGTTATATAAGGGTTCCATAACTCTGCAACCGAACCTGTAAAGACTAATTGCATCGTCTATTAGTTGATGAACACTAACGATTTAGATTCTATGCTACCTATCGGTTTTAAAAACAAATAGTTCCCTGTCTGCCTATACGCACGCCTGGTAGCATATGGGTGACTTGAGTTCTACAATTACTATATAGACTCGCAACAATGTGAATGTACTGGTATGACAAACACACTGAACACTTTTTGCAATAACGCTTTGCTACTGAGACGTATTACCAAAATCAGCACGAGAATATGAATCCAAAGTATCGTACATTCAAGCGGACAGAATCTCAGGAAAAGAAAGTAGGACATGCATAATACATTAGGTTTTACTATATACCCAAATGTATTAACTATAATCTGCAGCTAATGTTGCAGTTTAATATTTTCGGTAGTGAGCTGACACAAAAATTGTAAGTCTTAGGCTTATTTATTTTGGCCCAAGTCTAGCACACTAAAAAATCTTTTAGGTAGGTGATGAGTGTAGTAAGAGATTGGAGTGTAGCATAGCAATTTCTAATCTCGATGAAGATATGGGCGTACTTCTCTAGGGCAGCTAATACAATCATACTCAGTGGCTACTAATACTCAGTTCCCGAATATACCAGGTCTCCAACTTGACCGTTCTACACACTGTCTCTATAAATACATTCCAGCAAATTATGTCTCCTTTAACAACCTCTAGATATGATTCTCAAACTGAGATGACGCTAGTCGAATTGGAAAAATGAGTACATTGTGTTAAAGCTTCTCTTGAACTTTCCTAACAGTATAACCCCTATTAAAAATCAAACCAGAGAAGTTCTGATATCCTTAACTGCCAAAGACGAATAAAAACAACGGAGTATATTCTGTCAGTAAAATAAGGAATAATTCTCTTGGCAACCTCATGGGTACTGAAGTTAGGCACTTACCAGGGCTCTCAACGCGTTGATAGTGATATGGATTGATGCAAACCTCATTTTCTTTAGCTGAGAAGGGGAATCGACAAAATTCAAGTGGCTTCAGTTCATGATGACTTTGTAGGTCTGGCCACCTCCACACACGACAGTATATTACATGAGGTAATCCTTTCCTATGAGAAACTTGCAGCCGGCCATCAAGAGAGCGTGGAATAGTTACGCATTCTGAAGGTTCTCCAGGATTACTTAGAGCACGTTCCAAAGCTTCTAGAGCACCTTTTTTCTTTTTGAGTTTTTTAACAAGTGAGTCGACAGCCTTCTCAGCCCATTTTTCTTCTTCGTCTCCCTGTTTCCAGCCAAGAAGTCTCTTCACAGCAGGTGATGTGAATGAAAATAAACTGTTTAGACTAGAAATAGGAGTTGACATGGCCTGTCTACATTAAAACCAAACGAGTATCAAAAATCCATCGAAACTTGACAGTCGAAAAGTGCGCAGTATTTGTGGTGAGTAGTATCCAATGTCCAATATATTTGTAGTGTGATTACGTCAACGTTCTGGTTTTTTTATGCTTCCTTCTTGGTTTTGAGAGCATTCTTCGGTTTCTCATGATATGTGGCTCTGTCAAACAAAATAGGTAGGTGTGTGTCGAACAGATTAGCGGAGAAGCTTTCTGCTAGTCCTATGTATCTCATTGTTGATATCAGAAGTAGCCATGTTACAAAAAATGTCATCTTGATGGAGTGTGAGGCTGGCAGCGATAGAGATGATTTAATCCAAAAATAAAATCAGAATGTTTACTCCACATTTCAGATGAAAATGCTCCTTCAATAGGTGGGTAAATTAAAGTTGGTTCTGTGGACTGGTCTTGTTTGCTTTATGGAACTGTTAATAGGACGAGAGCTGATCACAGATGCTGCAGGAGATTCGCCCGACGAGAATGGAATTTCATCTGTACTCGCGTCACTTTCGAATGAGGTTCAATTCTGTCCGAGTTCCTTTACTTTTGCTCCTTTCTGACAGTATGTCCCTAATCGAGTGTGTTGATTTAAGGTCTATTTTCAATTAGATCTGATTCTATATGGTTGTATGAGTTCAACTTTCGAAGACAGAAATCATAAGGCTTATTTTTTATCCAGTTAGCACGTTTTTTCACTATTCTCCGTCTGCTACCAAATTATCAACTACTTTAGATTGTATTCACGAAAATGTAAGTGAAAAAGCACCGAATATAACTTTGCGGGTGTGTAGGCGGCTAAGATCCAAGCACAACCAATTAGCTGTGTACGATCAGTAAGCTAGGTAACCTTAGCTAGGTTTCACCAGTATTCACAGAATCGTAGTTCAACAATTTTTAACACTAAATCATTGTGAGCTTATTACAGATGACATTTCCAAGATGAGTAGGTCATTCTGCAGCTCGAGTGAAATTCTTCGGATCCCAACAAATCTATACGACATTATGTTATCAACATGAATGGAGACTGGAGGGTCTTAATTTACCCAGTAAACTATCCGTTAAAATCCGTAAAACTAGTAGTCCTATACGTCCTTTACGTTCAGGCATTGTAACAGATACGTTGAATGTTTGCGTTACATTTTAGCGTGATTAGTTACATACACTTGTCTTCGTTGTGAGACTCGCAAGAGCGTTTCTCTAGTTCCATCTATATGACCAACAACTGTTTCACCAACTAGTTGTGGTTAATCATATAAATCATATAAAAAGCCTTGAACTCATTCACCTGTTAACCTGATGACTGATAGCACATATCTGCTTCTTACAACAAGCAACACAACTACCACACTACTCACCAATACGCCGCCAGCGTCGAGCTGCTGTGTCACTGCCATCTACTGTGGCCGGAACTGACAGTAAAAATATGCTGACAACTAGTAGTGTAACAACAGAAGACAAGGGCCAAGCAACAGATCGTTTTATCACGAAAATCAACGCGTATTTATATATTTTTTATGGACATTAATAAGGCTTATGCAAGCAGAAAAAGGCAGTCTTCTAATTGGTTGTTTTTCGGAAGTTAAGCAGACAAACACAGTCTTCTGATTGGTTGTTTCGATATTTCTCGGAAAGTAGAGCCATTTATCTGCGAATCATATTTGCCCACGTTTAAGTCTGCTGTGATATGTTGTTGAATAAGCCTAGATTAATATCTACCAATCAGCGTCGATTTATGTCTACCAATTGGCTAGCAGCCTGCTCTCACCACACTCGTCCCCCCGTCAAATAGCTTCGTACGCAGACGTTCCGACCTTCTGGGTACAACATCCTCTAGTTGAGGATTGTTACTGATCGGCTTTTCCCACTGTACCCATCTTTGGAGCTGACTGGCATTAACTCGTTTCTGTTTGTCACCTCTTCGGATGATATATACTTGACCCCGTCTTTTTGTGATTGTGTATTGTCCTTCCCACTTTTGAAGGAGTTTCCGTGAACCTGGCCCGCCTCCAACTGTATATCTCCTGTCTCTACACTTCACTCGGTCCCCGACTGCAAAGGTAATGCACTACGTCCTCTCTTTCATCTGAGACTTCGCGACATCACTCCGCTGCTTCCGTATTACATTCTTGACTGCCTCTTTCCGCTCCGCTTTAAATTTCGTCGCACTCCACTTTTGGTGCAGGGGCCAGGTCTCATTGTGTATCGGTAATTGTGGTTTTCTACCATACATTAGTTGAAAGGGTGACTTCTTCGTTGTTTCCTGAGTGGTAGCCCGAAGTGTTAGTAAAATCAGTGGAAGCTCCGTTTCCCAGTTCCCGCCCTTCGAGCCCAGCCACTCCTTCAGTGTACGGTTGTTTCTCTCCGTTAGGCCATTCGTATGTGGATGATATGAGGTCGTTCTGATCCTCTTGATGCCCAGCTGTTGCAAACGGGAGGTAAATTCTTCACTCTGGAAACAGGGGCCTTGGTCTGTCAGTATTGTCTTCGGTACGCCGTGGTCTGCAACGATGTTTCTAACGACTGCGTCTGTCACGGTCTTTGCACGCTGGTCTGGGATCGCTACGGCGTCTACCCATCGCGTCGCGTGTTCCGTCATCACCAAGAGGTACTGATTACCATTGGATGTCTGAGGAAATGGACCTATGACGTCTACGGACCACAAGTCACCTATCGCGGTAACTGGAATCAACTGAAGTGGTGGTCGTATGCACCGGTCGCCTTTCATTAGCTGGCACCGTGGACATCCAAGTAAGTATCTTGCTACGTCTTCTCTCATACCTGACCAGTACATGCTTTGTCTTAGGAGGTCGGTTGTTCTGGCCACGCCTCATGTGCCAGCTGGTGACATTCTTCTATCATGTCGTGGCGCGACGATTGAGGTATGACAGCCAGCCAGCTTCCGTCGTTCTCTCGCCAGGTCAGAGTCCCGTAGGCATTCACTCATAGTCGATCTCTCTGTCTGAGTAGTGTGGTTAGCTCCTTACTCGCCGTAGCTTGATCTACTTCTATCCCGTTGACGATCACCCGTATTACTGTATTCAGCGTATCGTTCAACCTTTACCTACGTGCAAGTTTTGGTGCGTCTTGTTCTACAGCATGCACTCCGTACGCGACCTCGGGCAACTCAGACTCATCTTCTGGTCTCGATAACAAATCTGCCAAGACATTTTCACTTCCAGGAACGTGTGAGATCGTAAAATTGTACTCCTGAAGACGCAACGTCCACCGTGACAATTTCCCCTGTGGGTCTCTCGCTGTCTTCAAAAATTGTAGCGGCTTATGATCAGTTTCGATGTGGAACCGCAGGCCGACTAAATAAGGTCTCCATTTGTCGACTGCCCATACCATTGCTAAACATTCTTTCTCTATCGTTGAATACTTTCTCTCTGTGCGTGTCAAAACCCGACTGGCATACTCAACGATTCCCTCGTCCTGTCTTAGGACCGCACCTATAGCGTAGTAACTGGCATCTGTGCACAATGTGAACTGTCTTCCAGGTACAGGTAGTTTTAGTGTCATTTGTTGTTGGCCGAGCAGCTGTTTAATTCTGTCGAATGTCTTCTGCAATTCCTCACACCAAACAAACCCTGGATCCCCTAGTAGCCTGTACAGAGGGGATGCTATCTCATTGAAGTTCTTCACGAAGCGACTATAAAACACTGCTCTACCCAAGAATTGCCTCAATTTTCTCTTTGAATTCGGGGCTGGAATCGTTTTAATCGTCAAAATTTTCTCCGGTAGTGGTTTAATCTCACTGTTTCCCACTTTAAGTCCCAACAGAGTATCATTCTTTTTGGCTATCTGGGACTTGGTTTTGTTGATGCGCAGTCCAAACTCTTCGATGCGTCGCAGCACGACTTCTACATGGTTTGTTTTGACTGTATATGACGAGATCATCGCCATAAACCTCCACGTTTTTCAAGTTCCTAAGTAATAGCTTCATCAGTCGTCTGAACGTAAACGGTGCACCTGCTAGTCCAAATGGCATGCGTTTAAATCGATATTGTGTCTGACCCACGATGAATGCCGTCTTATCTCTCTCACCTGGTTTCACCGGTATCTGCCAGTATCCTGAGCAAAGATCGAAAACCGAAAACACATTCGCGCCTTGTAGGCGATCTAAAGTTTCTACCACTGTTGGCGTGGCACACGGTCTTAACTCAGTCATACTGTTTAACTGTCGAAAATCAACACAGAATCTATACTTCCCATTCGCTTTCTTTACTAACAGCACTGGAGAGTTGTACGGGCTATCAGCTTCCTCAATAATATCGTCTTTTAACATCTCTTGCACTTGTCGCTCCACTTCGCCTTCCAGATGACATGGTATTCTTCGAGTTGTAAATGACCTTACTTTCGGATCACTTAACGGAATTTCATGATTCACCTTGTCGCAATAACCTTATGGGTCGCCATCTCCAGTGAACAGATGATCGTATTTCTTAATTAACTCCGTCATATTGTATACCGTCGACAGTTTCACCGCTGCTATCTCGCTGGTCTCATACATGTTGATATGCCCGTATTTTGTGATCACCACGCTCGCTTGCGTGTCGATTATCGCACCAATCTCATGCAGAAAATCCGCTCCTAATATCGTTCGCTGTAGTTCGGGTACAAAAATGAAAGGAAACGTCACCTCTCAGCCTCCAACAACGACCGTACAGTTCAATCTACCCGTTATACGCAACACATGCCCGCCTACTGTTTGTACTGCCAATGAACACGGACTAACACTCTCACATATTATTATTATAATTTATTATTGTATCCTTTAGTTCCTAGAGGAACATAGGGCTTCAGCTGCGCACCTCCATTGCCTTCGGTTTTCTGACAACTTTTTCACCCTGCTCCAGGTCTGTCCACATGCTTTCATCTCCTCTTCACATGACCTCCTCCAAGTCACCCTTGGACGACCAACTCGCCGCCTCCCTTTCGGGTTCCACTCGAGGGCTTGTCTAGTGATGTC